ACAGAGAGAAAAGGTGTCTGCTTCCAAATGCACCAGCTATTGAAATCAATGTTAAATTTAGGAAGGAAAAAAACAACCTCCCCTTGCCACAGGAAACTTAAATTCTCAAAGCTACTTTAGATTTCACAGGAAAGAGGAAAGCATTAGCACCATATCACAGTATGCATTTGTTCAGGAAAGTGGGTTTTACAAAGTCTTGATTCATACATAAAAATTATTAGAAACCATCCTCTTCATGGCGTTGGAAGACTAATGAAAGTTAAAAAGCTGAATATTTTACCATTCACAGTGAAGAAAACTTAATGATGACAAGTAAAAAGGTCAAAAAGCTACTTAGTTTTATTATATATATTTATGTTAACTCACAAAACCTGATTTCTAAAATAGTAATGTATTTTTGAAGGAAAAAGCAGATAGTAAGCCAGAACAAAATAATTTATCACCAAATCAAGTTAAACTGTATTTGTAATAAAAAGGTTTAGAATACTATGAAACTAATATTGTTACTGTGCTGAAATGCTTTTTTCTTCCCCTCCGATAATGCAATATTATAAAAGGTCACAGTTACTTTAAATGTATAATATAAAGTTTTCCAAGCTATCCAAGCATTCATTTTACTCAAGAAGCCTTTTCACTGAAAATATAGAGAGTAATTTAAACTTATCTAGAAAATATCCCCTGGAGAGTGAGATATGCAGGACTGGTCCTAAAATCTGCCTGTTTATCCTTTATGCAAGGTCAGTTTTCTTAATAACAATTTTCTACGATTGCATGCAAAACACTGACAAACCTGTCTTAATTGTGCAATTTAAATACTTTTATTTAGAAAATTATTGATTAATGGCTGGTACAGCAGATGCATTATAGTGCAAACAATTTTTCTCATCCAAATTGCCCCAGCTCAGATGTAAAATGTAAAAGTATGCCCAAACTATTACGTGGGTGTACATTCTTAAGAAAGAAAAAAAAAATTCAAGTGCAACTCAGTCTGTTTTTGACTGAGAACAGCAATGTGTCTTTGGACTTCTCCACATTCAGCTCGGCAAAGAGTGCCCACAGTGACTCTCCTGCACTAATTCTTAGTTTTACTAATTCAGTCAAAAAGTTGATTTATTTTTTCAGTTTTATCTTAGAGGCTAGGATCAGAAGTTAGAAATGGTCCAAGACTAACTTCTTTAAGCTAAAAAAGCAGTTCAGCGATCTCTACGGTGCTACCACATACATCTGCTTATCAAAAAACACATTTGTTGTCAATGATTCATTTGAGAAGTTTCTGCAAAGAAGCTCCAAATTTCATAAAGAAACTGCCAAGTATGCACATAGCAGTTGGGCAAGCAGTTGAGCTCTAAGGGTAGAAAAATCACTATTGTGAAAAAATATAAACAAAAATATCATTCAGTACACTTCAGGAGAACAAAGTTACTTAGACATAACCTGAATATGGGGAAAGCAGAAGAAAAAGCTTTCATACAAATTCTCGGCAATGAAGAAAACAACATTTTACATTGCATGAAAAGAAGGCAAATTATTGAATTAGTCAGGTGTAACAAGATACCTTTATGTTGTCCAGAGTCTGCATTGAAATTCATTTGTCCTTGTAGTTGATTACCACCAGTATCTGCTGAGTGTTGATCATGCGGATCATTGTGAAGAATATGAGGTTGGATCTTAACCTGTTCTTCTAGAATCATGCTGAACAGAAGATAGCATAGAAAAAATCCTATTGCTGATCCGAAAGCGAAGGTTAGAAGGTTCATTAGCGATTTAGAAGAGGCCATTTCCTGAAGGCAATAGACTGTCAGAAACAAATGAAAAATACATTAAGCTTAAAGCAACACTGAACTCAAATCCAGAAATACAGGAAAATGAAGGAATAACTCTGAAACTGGAGGCCTCAGTAATGAGCTCCCCTGGACATGCATGGGAGCTTCAGCACAAAAGCAATACAAATATTAATATAAAAACTGTACACTTGTTGGAGGTATGGGAAAAAAGGAGATTAGGGCATCATTCAGTCTTTCACAGGTAGTTAACAAAACAAGGCCACGAAGGAAGGAGCAAGACAAGACTATAAGGCAAACAGATAAGGAAGTACCCATATAAACCTGAAGAGAACAAAAACAGCTGATAAACAGGATAGAACTACTTGGACTATGCTAACCTAACTAGCATAATAAAATGATCAAAGCCTCTTCCCCACAGAGCATGCGTAGTAGAAAAAGAGGATACTGTGACTTGAAATGAAGATGAGACCTCACAGAACCAATGGGAACAAGGATGACTTAATGTAGTTGTAAACTGTACTGATAACTGTTGCTTAAACTGTATGAAGTGTAAGCTGTGTAGTAATCAGGTGTGCTAGCTTTGTGGAATCACCACCTAGCACCCATCTCTGCACAGAAATGAATTAAATAAATATCTCGATTCTGTGTGTTTTTCAGCTCATAGCACACCAGGAGAAAGAACCCTTCTTTGGGATAACACGCTCACTGATAAATTTAGTGCAAAAGGCAAAGCATGCATTGTTTAGCTTTCAATTATAAAGGATAGTCAAAAAACCAAAATAGCCATTGCACATACAGAAAACATTCATTTAATTGCACTGATACAATATTTATATAAGAATGTACATAAAGTGTAACAATTTAATTATAAAAAGTTAATATGCACTCGCTTGTTTATTCTCTTGGTCCCAACAAACTTGCCCTTTAAAAGAATGATACTTAAGTCTCTTATGAAGATAACAAAAGATGATCAAAGACAATCTACAGGTCAAGATAGGATATGATCATGAGATGTATTCAGGCTCTAAGAGTAAGTAAATTAGAGGAACCCTTTAACAGATGTCACATACAAGCAGACTTTGAAGGCGTTTATAAGTAAACCTACTCTGACCTCAGAGCAGGGAAGTTTTCCTTTCATTTTTAGAAGTACCGAGGATATACTTTCAGAAGAGAGTTAGACAATATCTGTATTTACATACAGAATATGCATATTTTTAAAAAGTATTTGGAAGAAGAGAAGAAAACAACATCTTTGACTGATGGCATCTTCTACATATCAAAAACTTTCTATTCTAGCAACGTAAGACCTTCATTTCAGCCACATCCTTGCTCCTCAAAACCAAAAGGATTTGGCTAACCATTTTTGTAAAATAAAACAAAACTAGCATTTACATCTGCATATAGGTGAGCTCAAATGTGCATATTTATATATATATATATATATATATATAAAAAAAATATTTGCAAACTATTCAGGCATTTGAAGAAAGATCTTTGAAAAGGGCTGAGATGTTTTCTAATAATTCAGTGACGGAAGCTACAAAAACATTGACTGTTAAATACATACTGAAGTCAAGCAAGAACTTTACAAACAAATTGAGAGTGTTTCTCCATTAGGATCATTTTTAACGTCAATGGGCAAGAACTCAGTTTGGCTAGTTAGCCATAAAAAGAAAATTATGGAACGCACAGAGCATCAGTAAGTCAGGAAGGAGCAAGTATTAATACTTTCAACCACAATATCTCACAGCTTGGCTGTGGCATTAATACATCCACAGTGCAGAAGGAAAAATAACTGCAGAGGAAGAGGTTATGGGGAACTGAGAATTACCAGTGTGCAAGAAGAATGGGACCCTTTGGAAAAAGTAGGGAAACAGATCTCAATGTATGGTATCACAGCTGCAAAGGAATGCTGGAGATAGATGCAGACAGTAGTAAAGAGAGAAACTGTTTCAGGAAACAGTAACATGAAAGGACTCCATGACACACGCAGTGAACCCAGCTAGAAGAATATAATCTTTTAACATTTCTAACTCATGCAATTTACATTCTTTTGAATTTATCTTAAGCTTCAAGTTTCCTATCAGAGTAGACAACTCCCAAAATGAGAATTCTGTATGGCATACAGGGCCCATTCCTCTCAAAATGTAGTTGCACATCCTATACCTTATATTACAGCAAAAATGATGTTTTAAATGGATATTATCCTGTCTGCTACACATCAGATTGCAAGAGAGCACCTAATTATTACTACTGAAAATAAATAATAGTGGAGAAAAACACCATAGGTTCTAAACGTCATGAAAATATATTCCTGCAAAGTCTTACCTCTAAGCAGAATCAAAAGCCCCCTTACTCACAACAGATTCTAAACAAGGTATCGAACTCTGACAAACACTGAGAATTTTTCCTGACATCCACCAGGTGGAAAATAGCTGCTGCCACCAAAAGAACTTGTTTAGCCAATGACAGAAGAGGTCCTCTGCCGAGAGGACTGTCCTCAAGCAAGCTGCATGAATCACTTGGGCAGCAACATGCACTCCAGATACAAGCTTTCTGTCTGTCTGATCTCACATCTGAAAGGAAAGAAGAGAGGACAGAGAACAGATGCATATATATAATCAGGCTGACACATTTAGAAATCATCTGATTTACTTAACATGTGCAGATCTATATCATGTGAGAGGGGAAGCAGCTCTAAGGTGATATACCTTGCTTACTTACTACAAAATTGAAACAAAACTGGAAATGGCAACTACAAAGCACAGAAGGAAAACTAAGAAACTTAAAGGCTGCCCCAAATTAATATAACTGTAACTATAGCTGTTAAAGAGCTGTAGTTTTTTAATACGAAAAAGCATTTTATGCAATTTTTTTTACCATACATTGTCTTACCCGAATTCGGTGCTCCATCTCCGTGGAGACTTGTAAAATAACAATACCCTTTAGTCATCGCACCTTGAAGTATAAAATGTACTAGATTTCAAGGGCCTACGTCACAAGTTGCAAAGATGACTTCATTTCCAGCATTACTACTGGAGTCTTATATACCATTAACTTGCAAAGAAAATATGAGGGATTACATCACGTGTCTTCCAAAACAAACCTCGTTTAAGGAAAATCTATATGCACAAGCAGCCTATGACACTGAAAAGTACCCACTGTATGAAAAACATCTACTTTATTGTGTTTTTTTTTTGTCATCCCATCTATCACCTCAAAATCACCACAAAAACTGGCAATACAGAAACGGAGAGGGCCAGGACAAAAAAATGCCTTTGGCAAATGAAACAGGAAATAAAAAAAAAAAATCCATGCATCAACACAAAGTAAATACAGCACTTCCCAGAAGAAAAAGTCCCTATTGTTCCACTCTTTAGTATTAGGTGCCTCTTTGCCATTCAAGTTCAGTTGTCTGCTCTAACAGCTGTTAAATTACTTTGGTTAGGAGAGAGTAAAAGAAAAAATCATTTGAAAGTAACTCCTGCTTATTAAACTATGGAATTACATGAAACTACAGCTGTGTTAAATTCTTCAGAAAGAAATGTAAGATAAGATTTCTATTTTAATATTTCCAGTACAAAGTGTATATATCACAATGGGAAACCACAAGCTGATTTGGCAGCATTCCACTAGGAAGGAGGCTCTTTGGATGGAGGCAGGGCCAGATGCTGAGGCACCACTTCATAGTTCACATGAAAACTGTGCAACTGCAGACCTTTCAATCTAAAATAATCTGCTCATCATTCTGTTAATTTCATATCAACAGACTGGACCACTATACACATGCATGAATAGTCATATGCATATAAAAGCTCTCCATCAGCAAATGGGACAGTAATTTTTCATTTTTTATATTATGTTGATATTTGACACAAGGTTTTTAACTTGTCAGCAAAATAATCAAATGGTACCGCAACAGACTAGAACAAGAAAGCGTCTAAAACGAAGGTCAGTTTTTATAAGTATCCCCACTCTTCTTTTTTTCCTATAAAAGGATTTAATCGGAGGCAAGACATATGGAGAGCAAAACCTACCAGTTCACTAAAAGATCCTCCTTTTTACTCCTGTTTCTATCTTTATTTCTATTGACTTCAAGAAGAGATACGCTTTAAGAAGAAAAAACTACAACAAAATCCTAAGTTTATGCTTAATTTGTGCTCCACTACTACATCATGGCAGCTTAAGCTAACATATACAGTTAGACAGTCATGTAAGTCGCCCCGTTCACATCTACCAGACTGACACCTTAATGTTTTAAAACTCTACCACAATCTAAAAATCACTGTAGATTTATCTCAAAATTTAAGTTTTGAGAGTCAAAGTTTCCCAAATCCTCAAACTCAGAGGAAAAATAATTTTCATGTGTTAGGGTTTGACAAATCCAGTAGTACAACGGAAGTAAGGCTGCTGCAGCTCCATGTCTCCAGGTCTAGCCAGTGACAAGGCTGAGCATGTATTCCCAATACTCACACACAAACACATATATAGAACATATCACCCCAGTATCATACCATAATCATTTTGGCTTAAGAGTCGATAAATTAACTACACAGAATAAGGCCAGCTTATACACACAGCTCTGTCTCGGATCCCTTATTTATGAAGTGAAAACCCATGGCATAAACGGCAACGAAGTTGATCCCTACTACTGTGTCCTTAACAGTCAAGCAACATTAAGGAACAATTAAAAATAAAAATGTAGTAAACGTAGTTTGTTGTACAGTGCCCAAGAAAGGTTTTCTGCTCACCAAGCCGTGTCATTTCAAGTAACTTTACATGAACATACTATCATATTTTTTTAAAATGAAACTATATTCAGAACAGGTGTGCATTCACCAATGTTATGCGCATCAAGCATTACTATGAACTGCTGCAGATCCCTGCCAATCAAGTGTACACTATATTTTTAATTTTCAAAGATATTTTATATTTAAAAAAATCTAATGGCATAAACATGTCTTTGGAGATGACCTTTCTCATGAAAAACACAAAAGACACCAAATATAAACAACAAAAGCAAAGTATTTTGGTACAGGCGAACGATAACAGCATTGAAACAATACCTGTAATAATCCACAGTACAGGTGAGGGGAAAGAAAACTCTTGATAGTCTCTTTCCTACCAGCTTCCCAAATCTGGCACCTTCTTTTAGCAATAAGCTACCGTATCCAACGGCACCACTCACGCTCTT